GTTTTACCTTCAGAGTCTTTCTTATAGAAAACTCCATGTGGATGTACAGAATAAGGCCGTGAAGCAAAGTTTTTAAAATGAATAACAAAAGTATCTCTTTCTTCAGCTTTCAGCACTGGACCAAGAAAGCCCAACCAAGGTGGTTTGGGGATCTCCTGAGAGTATGTCTCATCTGTGAATTGTCTAAAAATTGCCTTTTTATAAATACGGCCTATCCTGTTGGCATCTCTCTTCACATAGACTGCTGCTTCTCTGCAAGGAAAAAAAAGGGGGGTATTAAAACCAGTTTCCAACCAATAAGTAAAATGGAATGATGAGGAAAACTGTAATTTGAACATCACTTTTATATCTGGAGAATGAGCCTAGGGAACCTCCCATCAAAGCAGAGCTCTGGTACCACAGCAAACTACAAATCCCAGGATATCGTAGAATTGAGCCATGGCAGTTAAAGTGGCATCAAACTGGATTATTTCTGCAGTGCAGATGTATCCTAAGACATGATGCCTATAATCTTTGCATTTTCCCCAAGTATTTTTTTTTTAAACAGAGGACTTCAAATAGGACCTGACTCCAGGAATCATTTTCACTGATAAGTGCACAAATCTCAAGCACACTATTGTCAATACACAATGAAAACCAGAAAGAGATCAAAGAATCCAGCTCCATCCATATTACTTTACCAACCCACACAACCATATTAACTTCTTAAGAGGCATGTTTGGGTCAATTAGAGGTTTTATTTGGTGGCCCAGAGATATTTTTGGTCTGGTAAACAAACCAACTCAGAAACCTCTGAGCCAGGCATGCCTCTTGATGGGAAAACAAATACATCTAGAAGGAAGAAAAAACATGTGTAGAGGTATAAAGCAGCGTCCACAACTCAGAGCAAAGGAGCTTTTTGCTTGGACTTACTCATCCTCAAGGAGGTTTTGTCCTGTGATCAAATTCTTCCCAGTGGGTGCATAGTCCCAGTTCTCCTCCACAATCCCAATATAGTAAATTCGGACAGAGGCTCGGGCTAAAAGTAGATGCCAGAGGATAATAACACAAGGTAGAATGCAAGGAGCTTGCTTTGCAGGCGGCATTGGTCCAGGTGTGTGTTTTTGTGTGTCTCATGCAGGCCAGCTCACCTCTCTTCCCACAAATATTCCAACTAGTCAGACAGGAAAGGATGGACAAAGCCATGCTCCTCCCTTTCAGCAATTTGGGCCTAATGAGGGGACAGGCCTGAAGCCTTGAGCAAGCAGAGAAAGGCCCAGTGGTGTGGGGTTGCCATGCCAACCAGGCCTTTGGCCAGGCTCTGAAGGCCTCCAGTGTGGAGCTGACTTTTTGTGTTGTTTGTCCCACAGGCTCAATGAAGAGAAGCACACATTCATTGCCAGCATGGCATAGTGGTTTGCGCATTGGACTAAGACTCTTTAAGAGACCAGGGTTCAATTCCCTGCTTGGCCTTGGGCAAGTTCACACTCTCTCAGCCGCAGAGGGAGGCAATGGCAACTACCCCCCCAAACAAAAATTGCCAAGAAAACCGCATGATTGGTCCGCCTTAAGGACCTTATCAAATGCTGGCCACGAAGCGAAAAGTAAGCGAAAACTAACCGAAGTAAGAATAAATTCAGTTCGATACCGAAACGAACTGAATTTTGCCTGCGCGGCCATTGCGCAATGATTCCAAAAGCTCCCTTGTACTTCCCCGAAAAACCGAATGTCAAAAGATCCCCTTTCACTTCGGATCACGGAAAAAAAATACGTATTAGCTTTGGATACCTTCTGCTTGGGACCCCCGTGTGATAAGGTCCTAAGAGTTGCCATATATTGAAAGCGACTTGAAGACACACACACACCACACACACACAAATTCATTTGTACTTTTGCGTGGTTTTTCAGAGTGACATACTTTTAAAAAAACAGATAATGGTCCAAAAAACATTGCAGAAACAATCCAGTTTGAGACCACTTTAACTGTTCTGGCTCAATGCTAGGGAATCCTGGGAATTGTAGTTTATTGCAGCAACCAGAGCTCTCTGATAGAGATGGCTATAAATGTTTCACAAAACTACAGTTCCCAGAATCTCTAGATTGAGCCAGGGCAGTTAAAGCAGTGTCAAACTGGATTATTTGTGCAGTGTGTTTTGGACCAATGTTGGAGAGTTGGGATGATTCCTTCTCTTTTCCCCTATTTTTTTGTTTTGTTTTGTTTTGTTTGTCGATGTATTCTGACAAACATGTCCCAGCTCTGCTATATCAGCAGAGATACACCATGATATGAACCAGCATGGTGTAGTGGTTTGATCATCAGACTATGACTCTGGAGACCAGGGTTCGATTCCCAGCTCAGCCATGAAATCCACTGGGTGACCTTGGCCAAGTCACACACTCTCAGCCTCAGAGGAAGGCAGGGCAAATCCCTCTGAACAAATCTTGCCAAGAAAAGCCCATAATAGGTTGAAGGCATACAATGACGACAAAGATGCTGATGTAGCAAGCCAGCATGCATAGTAGTTTGAGCGTTGCACTAGGAATCTGGAGAACAAGGCTGGAATCTTGCATGGCCATTAAAACCCTCTGGGCGACCCTGGGCAAGTTATACTCTTTCTGAGACTCAGAAGAAAGCAAAGGCTGTGAACAAGTCTTGCTAAGAAATCCCCCCCCCCCCATGATAGGTTCACTGCTGTTGATGTTGTTGTTGCTGCTGTTGTGTGCGCCTTCAAGTCTTTTCCAACTGATGTTGTGTGCCTCCAAGTATTTTCCGACCTAAGACGAACCTGTCATTGGCTTTTCTTGGCAAGATTTGTCCAGAGGAGGTTTGCCATTGCCTTCCCCTGAGGCTGAGAGCATGTGACTTGCCCAAGGTCACTCAGTGGGTTTTATGATCAAGCTGGGAATGGAGCCCTGGTCTCCAGAGTTGTAATCCAATGCTCAAACCACAACATCATACTGGGTCTTGGAATGTACATATTGGTCATGAAAAGTATGGTTGAATAGGCTGGATGGGATAGATTGGAAAAGGGTATGGCTGTTGTTGTTTTTGTGTGCATCTTCAAGTCTTTTCCAACTGATGTTGCGTGCCTTCAAGTATTTTCTGCCTAAGGCAAACCTATCATTGGTTTTTCTCGGCAAGATTTGTTCAGATGATGTTTTGCCATTGCCTTCCCCTGAGGCTGAGAGCATGTGACTTGTCCAAGGTTACCCAGTGGGTTTGATGGCAGAACAGGGGATTGAACCCTGCTCTCCTGAGTCATAGTCCAACACTCAAACCACTACGCTATGCTGGTTCACCCTAGGATTGCCATAAGTCAGAAACAACTCGAAGGCACACAAAAACAAAACAAAACCCAAAACAATATTATTTTGTGACATGTTAGTGTGCCCTGCATACCCAGTGCTCTATTTTGGGCTCTCCATATTTCATATCTCATATCTGGGGACAGCATGTTTTTGAGATATTGATGAGCTTTCAGGAACACTAGGTCAGGTTTCCAGGAGAAAAGGGGAATATCCCAAGGTATATGCACATCCACATAAATAAGACAATCAAATCCAGATGGGTGTATCAATTGCCCCCTCCTTCCTCCCAAGTCATCTACATTTCCTCTTACACCTTGAAATAAAGGATCTCCTTGCCAATCTCTCTGCCTGCCCCCAGTTGCGTTCCAAGTCCAAACATCCCTGTCCATCCATCCTGGGGATATCTTGACCCAATCACAGTTTTTGTCACATTAAAATTAAAGCCATCACCCAGTCCCATTGTTGATTCCTGGGAAAGGACATCCAGCCTTTGTTAGCTGGTGAGATAACTCATCTCTTGGAGCTATATTTAAGGTCTAAATATGGTTCGAAACCTAACCTCTGCGCATGCAGCTGCCATACATCTCTGCACTTTGTGTATGCTGCCTCAGACTTCCTAGTCTGAGCCACTCCAGCTTTTCATGGTCTACATATCAGACAGGTAATTTCACCCCACTGCAAAACCCTAAGAAACTCCATTATCCCATTTCCCTGTTTCTATTTTGGTTGGCTTTGTATGCTGTGTCTGTGTAAATTGCTATTGTGCATGCTTATGTGATTGCACTCTACATATTTTCTAAATAGAACTCTCTTAATTAACCCCAAACCTGGAGTTCTCCTCAGTTATTACTGTATAAATAGGTGCAAATGGTCCTAAAGGTTACCCAAGCCTCTTGCAAAAATTAATTTCCCCAACATTTGAAGTAATGCTGATAGTTGGTGGGGAACTCCCAGTCTCCCCACCTGTCTTTGGGTGGGGTGCCAAGAGTTCTGTCCTGAGCCCAGTGCAATTCAACATCTTTAACAATGACTTGGATGAAGGAATTGAGGTCATGCTTATGAAATTTGCAGATGACACCCACCAAATTAGAAGGAGAAGCTAATACCCCAGAGGAGAGGATCAAAATTCAAAATGATTGGAATAAATTAGAAAGCTGGCCCAAAACTAACAAAATGAATGTCAGCAGGGATAAATGTAAGATACTAGACTTAGGGCCTTTGTAGACTGCTAGAAATAGTGCAAATTGTGTCCACTTTAAAGGTTAGGATTAGGATTAGGGTTAGGGTTAGGGTTAGGGAATCATGGGAACTGTATTTTATTGTGGCACCAGAGCTCTCTGACAGAGATGGCTCAATGTCTCAGAAAAAAAACAATTCCCATGATTCCCTAGCATTAACCCTAACCCTTAAAGTGGACTCAATTTGCAATATTTCTGGCAGTCTGCAAAAGCCCTTAGGGAGAGAGAAAATTAATGCACAGATATAGGATGGGGAACACCTAGCTTGACAAGACTACATGTGAAAGGGATCTAGGAGTCCTAGTAGACCACAAGTTGAACATGAGTCAACAGTGTGATGCGACTGCTAAAAAGACGAATGCAATTCTAGGCTGCATCAATAGAGGTATAGTGTCTAGAACTCTAGATCAAGGGAAGCAATCAGGTCAGGCCTCACCTGGAATATTATGTCCAGTTCTGGGCACCATAATTCAGAAAGGATGTTGAGAAGCTGGAGCATGTCCAGAGGAGGGCAACCAAAATGGTGAAAGGTCTGGAAATCATGCCCTATGAAGACAGACTTAGGGAGCCAGGTATGTTTAGCCTGGAGAAGAGAAGTTTAAGAGGTAATATGATAGTCATGTTTAAAATATTTGAAGAAATGTCATGTTGAGGATGGAGCAAGCTTGTTTTCTGCTGCTCCAGAGAATAGGACCTGGAACAATGGATTCAAACTACAGGAAAAGAGATTCCACCTCAACATTAGGAAGAACTTCCTGACAATAAGAGCTGTTTGACGGTGGAACACACTCCATTGGAGAGCAGTGGAGTCTCCTTCTTTGGAGGTTTTAAACAGAGGCTGGATGACAATCTGTTGGCCATCTGTTGAAGGTGCTTTGATTGTGAGTTCCTGCATAGCAGAGGGTTTGACTTGATGTCTTCCAACTTTATGATTCTAGGATTCTAGGATTGTGGGATACCAACCCTAATTTTTTTGGGAAGTGGCTACCAAGAAGAGCCCCTCCTGTGTACCCATCAAATGTGCATCTGAAGGTGGTAGCATTAAGATAAGGATCTAAGGTACATTAAGTTACAAGTCTAAAGTACATTAATTAAGATATTTCATCATACCGTGTTACCTCTTCTGTCCCTTTTGTTGTCTCCACTACAATGTTACAATGTGGCTTGTCCAGAGCCTTAAGGAAGGGATCAGTTTGGTTAGATGTTACCTTATGTTATGATATTAGACTTCATATACGGTGATGGTGCGACTACAATAATTAGTCATGATCACAGTAAGTTCCAAAGGAATGACATCTCCAAAATAAATGAATTCACAATACTGATGCTAATTCTTTTGCAAATATGTATTGATGGGCAAGTCCCAGATTTGGTCATCCCCCCCCCCACACACACACTCCAAAAAAAGAAGAACATCTTAGACTTCCTTTTAGTCATTTTCATAGGTTCCAGTATTTTGTTTAAACTCACCCTACCAGATGACTACAGTTTTTTCCATTCCTAACTTCTTCAGTCTACCAAAAACAAAAACAAAAACCCACGTCCTGTAACCACCATGTGCTTCTGGAATAGTAGTTCATTCATAGCCAACGTCAGTAAAATGTTTTGGAGAACTAATGAAGAGAACAGAGTGAGCAAAGTGGAGCTGTCCTCTTATGATTAACGTAGGGTGCATCTACAGTATAGAAGTAATGTAGTTTGACACCACTTTAAGTGCTGTAGCTCTGTCCTTTGGAATCCTGGGATTTGTAGTTTTACAAGGCCTTTAGCCTTCTCTGCCAAAGAGTACTGGTACCTCACAAATCCCAGGATTCTGTAGGATGGAGCCATGGCAGGTAAATGCACCCATAGATTATTAGTTCATATAAACTAGCTGTCCTTTCTCTCCAAATACAACCAATCCAAACATTTAGACAAGGGAGAGAGGAATGATAATTCAGTAGCTATGATATCAAAGAAGAATGTCAAGTGTTGGTTCTGAAGCTGGTGGTTTATTCTATTTATTTATATCCACTTTTTCTCTGTTTTTGTTGTTAACTGCCCTCAAATCAATCCCGACCCATCTCCTATCCTCCACTGCTTTATTTAGTTCCTACAAACTCATCCCCATGTCCCCCCTGATTGAGTCCATCCATCTGGCCTGCATTCTTCCTCTCTTTTTACTACCCTCTGCCTTTCCTAGCATTATTGTCTTTTCCACTTTAACTGCCCTGGCTCAGTGCTAGGGGATTCTGGGAACTGTAGTTTTGTGAGACATTTAGCCTTCTCTATCAGAGAGCTTTGGAGCCACACCAGACTGCAAGGAGCCCTGGTGGCACAGTGGTTAAATGCCGGTACTGCAGCCACAAGGTTGTGAGTTTGATCCCAGGGCGCCAAGGTTGACTTAGCCTTCCATCCTTTCGGAGGTCAGTAAAATGACTACCCAACTTGTTGGGGCAATTAGCTTACAGACTATAAGCGGTTTAGAGAGTGCTGAGTTCACTATTAAGCAGTATAGAAATGTAAATGCTATTGCTACAATTCCTGGTATTCCCTAGCACTGAGCTGGGGCAGTTAAAGCGGCCTCAAACTGAATTATTTCTGCAATGTGTTTTGGACCATAATTTATAATTCACAGCATCTGAAAGTTTGAAAAGCAATTAAACTACCATAAAACTAAAGAAGCAGTTAAAACAAATTAAAACAGCAACAACAAAAAGAAATAAAAGTCCAGCACATTTTACAGGGACTGAAAAATCAATTCTTAAAGCTCTGCACAGTAGTGTCACTATGGGGGTGTGGGGGTACGGACCGCACTGGGTGACACCACCAAAGG